GACACACACACACACACACACACACACACACACACACACACACACACACACACACACACACACACACACACACACACACACACACAAAGAGAGACACACACAGCGTAGGTGGGCCCATTGGGCCTTTTGTTAGCAGGAGTTATTTAACTGTAACCTTGGTCAACTGTGCTGCATTTCCACCGTCCCACAGCTTCTTTTGAGGTCTTGTCATTTCTGCTCACACTGTGGTTCTCTCAGTGGCCTCAGTTCATGCTTTTATTCCACCGTTCTCTCACTTTTGACAGATGAAAGACTGGCAGGAGGAGAATGAAAACCACTCAGATCAAGTCACTAAAATCATTTCTCCGACAGACGTCTCTCCATCCATCCTCACAGCTCAGCCTCTGCTTCCCTAACAGACAGGAGACCTCAGATCCTGGTTTTAGTCTCCAGAACAAGAACAGTCCCCTCAGTGCTGCTGTGTTCCTGCTGTTCATCCAGGTCGTCGATCAAACAAACAATCAGGCAGTAAACATCCTAAAAACACAAGAAATAAACTTCAATGAGGACAAAAACAAAGAGAAGTTGCATTTTAGTGCCCTCTAGTGACGATTTAACATTTTACACTCTGTAGCATCAATCTGATCGTTTTTAACCTGCAGTTAGGTTAGGTTAGGTTGGGTTGGATTGGGTTGGGTTGGGTTAGGGTTGGGTTGGATTAGGTTAGGTTAGGTTCCTCTGCAGGTCACAGGGATATGGTGTCTTTGTTCAGCAGTCACTGTTTGAGAGGTGAGGGGACACTTTGGACACATTGCAAGTTCACTATAGGGACAAAGAGACAAACACTCACTTTCTGACCCACAGGGACTATAAGAGCTTAGGTGTCCAATCCTGGTCCTCGAGGGTCCATTATCCTGCATGTTTTAGAGGTTTCTCTGCACCAGCACACCTGCTTTGAATGAATGGGTGATTGACAGGCTCCTGCAGAACTTGAAGAGGAAATTTAATCCCTAAATCAGCTGAGTTAGAGCAGGGGAAACAATCGAAACATGTAAGATAGTGGTCCTCGAGAGGAAACGGGTCAGAAAAAGCACGTGAGCAAGAGAACGTGCAAACTCCACCCAGAAAGACCCCAGGCTGGGACAAGTAGGGGGTCTCTGCGGACGAGTGGACGGAGAAGGGGTTATCTGCGGAATCAAAGTGGGCGTGTCACAAGAGTGGGCGTGTCTAAAGCATAAACACTGTGGGCTACGAGGCCTACATGACGGTATCCTTAGACCCTGCTTGACCTCTATACAGCCTGACCCTGACCCCAACACTAAGGTTAACCAGGAGAAATGTGACCCAAGTAGGGGTCTCCAGAAAAAGTGGTGCCGTACAGTAACGCCCCTTTTGTTTTTTCCAATCAGGTGGTGCTGTACGGTGATGCCCCTTTAACGAAGTCCGTCAAATCAGGTGTGTCACTTTAGAATTGCCTTTCCTTGTGACACGCTCACTCGTCCACACTCGTCCGCAGAGACCCTTACTTGAGTGGATGTGTCCCAACGAAAGGAGATTCTAAAGCGACACCAAAAAAAGGGGCGTCACTGTACGGCACCACCTGATTGGACAAGAACAAAAGGGGCTTCACTGTACAGCACCACTTTTTCTGGAGACCCTACTTGGGTCACATTTCTCCAGGTTAACCTTAGTGTTGGGGTCAGGGTCAGGCTGTAAAGAGGTCAAGTAGGATACCACCATGTAGGCCCACAGTGTTAATGCTTTAGACACGCCCACTCTTGTGTCACGCCCACTTTGATTCCGCAGTTAACCCTTTCTTGGCTGGGAGACAACGGCTCCGACTCAGCATCACCTTCTCTCTGCAGTTTGAGACCTGACCTCCCCAGCTTCACCTCCTCCAGGTGTGTTTGGATGTCGAGTCCAGGAAGATCTCCAGGCAGGAGCTTCAGTCTCACTCTCCATCAGCAGCAGGTGGGCGGGTCGACACTACGGGGGGCCGTTTGTAAAGTTAGTCAAAAATTACCACCAATTATTTTGTTAGCTTTTAAAAAAATTTAAAAAACAAAATCGGGGATTCAGTCATTTTTTCACCATGTGATTCATTCATTTATAAATGCCAGTTTATAAACTAAATATTTAACTTACAAATTAAATTTTTAGCTAACAAGCCAGATGTTGAGCTCCAAACTAAATATTTAAGTTGCAACTTAAAGTTTAAAAGTGACACTTTTTTTATTTTTCAAAAATTAAATCAATGAGCTACAACGAAGTATTAGAGCCACAAGATTTTTTTTTAATTACGAGAAAAGTCATATTACATTAAAGCCGTATAAAAGTCATTTGAGAATTAAGTCGTAATATTACGAGTGTAAAGTCATACTATTACAACTTTAAACTCGTAATATTACCTCTTTATTCTCATAAAATTATGACTTTGTAATAATAAAAAAATCTTGTGTGGCCCTAATATTCTGTCGTAATGAGCTGCCTTTTTTAAGTAAAAAAAACCCAAAAAAAAACAAACTTTATTTGGCAGGCCGAATGGAAGTCACCTATGGATTGGATGTGGCCCGCAGGCCACCACTTGCCATCATGGTGTTTCACTATTAATATGTTTACTTTAGAGTGGTTTCACAAACTGTGTTGAGCAGAACTTAAAACATCAACTAAGACCAAAAAAAAGTTACAAAAAAAACTAAATCTGCTCAAAATACCAAACTAGTTTTCACGTTAACCCACCATTTTTGACAAGTGTGTATCGCAGCTATCAGGTTTTACAAAGTTACACAAATCCTGAGCAGAAAGGACGTCAGCAGAAAACATTACTATATAAATGAGGCACAGCAACCACTTTCCTGTTAACTGTCATTTTATTAGCAAGTTGTGTCCAAAACACAAGCAAGCCACAACAAAACTCATAATTATAGAAACATCAAGTTATTTAATCACCTCTACTGATCAATCTGTCCACCTGTCAGAAATAAACATTGGTGCAATAAAACCAACAGGTTCCCAAAACAACAACAAAAAGTGCCTGTAGGTCACAAAACTCGAGCTTCACTCGGTTTTATTTGTGACATCATTTGAACCATCATTTCCACAATTACTCCTCAGTCACACGTCCCTCTGGTGTGCAGAGTTTAATCCTCTCTTAAATCAGCTCAGAGAAGAAAACCTCTGAATTAGTGATCGATCTACAAAAATACAAAACTGACTTAACTGTAGAGCTGGAAAATGTTAGAATTATTGAAAAACTGTGCAGCTGATTATGATTGATTTCAGCTTTATTTCCTTAACTCCTAGTTTCTTTAAATACAATTTTCATAAATTTGTTGTGCTGTAAGCAGCGTCTCAGAACATTTACCGAAATAATCCTGATTTTCAGCTCCTAATTAAACATCTCTTATTATAAACAGTTTGTAAGATGATGAAGTATTTTACCAGACAAAAGAGATAAAGAGCAAGAAACCGGATGACAAAGCATGTTGAGATAAATTCATCACAAGAACCCCAAGTTTATTTAGAGAGAACAATAAAAAGATAACTGGGGTGTCGGCGAGGCCAGGGGGGCGGGGCTTCTTCGTGGAAACTTTACAGATGACTTGTCCATGATTCGTTCTTCTCTTCGCTGCGTCGCAGCTTTGGCAGTCGACTGACATGCATCAAACTTCTCCCACCGAGTGTCAGGATTGAGCTAGTGCTGTTTTCTCCTGAAGGAGCATCCTGAGGAGAAACAAACACAAGTCTGGTTTGGATTTAAAATGAACAGTTATTCAGTTCTAAAACGGTTTAGAGTTGTAAAGAAGCAAAAAACCTTGGAGGCAATTAACTGAGGTAATTTAAACAAACTGCTTCGCAACGAAGCTAAAATATAAACATCTTCACAGGAGAATGAGTTTGAAAATAATTTAAAGTTTAAGTCGCAACTTTTAAAGAACAGAATCTAAACATTTTTACCAGCGATGTTTGAAACCATCAATTTCTTCTCTGACTCTCATAGAGTAAAACTCAGGCTGATTTCAGAGATACTTTGTGCAAATACACCTAATGTGTCTGGTAAATCTCACTCTTAAGTATATTAATTTACTGCCCTCATTTACAATATATTCTAGCTAATGCAACAGTAAAACAAGCGGGACATATACTGTTCGTAAATGACTGAAGTATCAAGATTTTTATTTTAGAGAATAAAGTTCTGATATTGGTGTGCCGATATTTCAATATCAAACTGCACATCACTATTTTTTACTTCTTATAAGTTTAACTTACAAACAAAACAACTTTTTTACGTTGTTTTTCATTGTAAAATAAGTTTCATATTTATAGGAAATAATTAAAATGAGTAATTTTGTGTAAAAATGTGTTAAATATCAATCACAAATGAACTATTATGATTTTCATTATTTTTCTGGTTATTTTATCTACATAAAAATAAATCAAGCTGCTTGGAGATGGACTTATAACCTTTACCTTTAACACGCTTGTCTTACAGCCTTTAACACGCTTGTCTTACAGCCTTTAACACGCTTGTCTTACCGCCTTTAACACGCTTGTCTTACCGCCTTTAACACGCTTGTCTTACAGCCTTTAACACGCTTGTCTTACAGCCTTTAACACGCTTGTCTTACCGCCTTTAACACGCTTGTCTTACAACCTTTACCTTTAACACGCTTGTCTTACAACCTTTACCTTTAACACGCTTGTCTTACAACCTTTAACATGATTGTCTTACAACCTTTACCTTTAACACGACTGTGTATAATTGTCTCTTTTTTTAAATCAATTTTCTTTCCTTGTCTTCCTCTGGTCCATGTTAAGTGTGGTCCACACCATGTCACCAAACAGCACAGTGAGTATCTGTAGGCCTATATACAGGCCCACTGACTGATTAAAGATTGTAGATACCTGTGATGATAATTAGTGGACACACCTGGATTTGGTAATATTTTCAGGGGTACTATCATTTCTGTCCAGGTCTGTTTCGTGGTGTTTTATTTTTATTTTTTATATTCTGTCGAAACATGGCTGAAAAGCAATGTCCAACTTTCATTTGGTCATTTTCCTAAACTTTTTATTTATTATTATTTCTGTGACCATTGTGGGTTTTTCTTTCATTAAATGAGGGGTACCAACAATTTTGTCCATGTGTTTATGTAAATGTAAAAACCAGATTGCTCTAAACCAGACTAATCTTCTGTTTTCTAACGTTCTGCATCCTAATCTTCAGGATTGTTTTTCTCACACAGTTTAGACGTTTTATGGTAAACGGTTTCATCAGTACAACAACCTATAAAACTCAGTTGAGTGTTTTTATAGCTGATTGTAATTCAGCAGAGAGAAAAAAGGATGGATTGTGCAGCTGCTTATTTTCAGGCGAAACACATAGCCACTGCAAACCTGCACAATATTTTTTAGGGGTTTTGTTGGCAGTACTGGAAACCAATGCATCCAAAAACTGTACAAAGTGGAAATTTTAATAGAACCAGTAATCCAATCCAGTTCATGGCATAATTGTGCATTTTATTTATTGGCAGCACACTTCCTGTTTCCACCAGTTATTCTCCATTTCAACCTTTCATCATCAAGTCGGTCCATTTTACCAACTTTTGATGTTAGTGTAGGGTGATCCTCACATACTGGCATCACATGCCATCTAAAAAATAATAAACTGTTTTATTATTCCTCCTGTGGGAAGAAGGGCTCACCTGTGTACACAGTAAATATATGAGATAAGACTTGAAACAAATCCAAATGTTTCTAGATTGCTCTTCAACATCTCTGCAGACTTGTGTAAAACTGTAGCATGCCAAGAAGCTATTTAGATTTAGACGTCTTATCAGAGCGGACAGCCCAGTGGTGATTAAAGTCAGTCTCAGAGCAGCACAGCAGTTAATGTTTTCCATGATCAGGTGTACTTTGACCTGCAGGAGATAACTGTAATTATTTATTCTCTGTGAACCAACTCTCTTCTTCTTAGAAATACAGTAAACCTTAAAATTACTTTTAAATAGTTAGATATAAATATTTAACAATTACCGTTTTGTCATTTTTTTCCTCACTTCTTACCTTGACTCAAACAACTTGAAGCTGTTTGACTCAATAATAATAATAATAACAATAATAATATTAACAACATTATTTACTAGTATCTGTTTTGATTGATGAAGTGGTACTTTTTTGTTTTTTGTATGAGTAAATGTGACTGTTGTAGAATCCAGAGTTGTAAAGTAACTAAATACAAATACTTTGTTACTGTACTTAAGTAGTAATTTTGGTTATCTGTACTTTACTTGAGTAATTATTTTTCAGACTACATTTTACTTCTACTTCTTACATTTTTTAAAAAAGGTAAGAAGTACAAAGTCATTTCTCCTATTTTTGTCTCGGTTTGTTAGTGTTAAATAAATACTATTCATATAAATTGTGCCTCCAGAGTGAATTTAATTGTAGTTGGATGAGAAGTATAAATATATATCATTCTGATAATGTATTAATTTTGTACACAATCCATCACAGCTGCATGTTTTTAGAAAAAAAAATTTTTTTGAAGTGGTCACCACCCAATAATGTATTTTGTAAAATCTAACTGCTCATTTATACTCAGTGCTTTTAATTTTTAATACTTTTGATACTTTTTACTACTTTTGATACCTAAGTACAAAAAATAATTCAGATACTTTAATAATTTTACTCAAATAATATTCTTAGAGACTTCAACTTTTACCAAAGTAATTTTATGATAATGTACTTTTACACAAGTATGACTTGGAGGTACTTTTTACAACACTGGTAGAATCTGTATGTGTGGTCAGGGTTAACAAATCATTTATCACCAAACAAAAAAAATAATCAGTTGTCAACTGGGTGCCTTCAAGGTCCAGCCTTGTACATAAAATTATGGTAAATTCATTGTACACAGGCTTATTGAACCAAGAGATACTTTGATACCATCAATAAAATAAAATAAAAACTCAAATCCAAAATTATGACTGGCTCAGAAAATCCTTAAAGTCATAACAGCTGTCAGAATGTGTGATATTTTATTGTTTGTAGTTTTGATTTTTATCTCTACATCATTAAATGATTGGGAACTAAACCAAATCAAACACCTGGGTTTTTATAAAAACTACGTTACAAAACATTGCTCGCCTTTGTTTACAACTTTACAGCTCAGTTTCATTTCTTTTCAGACGGGAGAAGAACTTTAAGTTTTGTCTTCAACCTGTCATCTCTGTGTTCTCCCTCTGACTGTTAAGTATTTAATTTATAATAATAGTCTGTTGAAATTGTTTTGCACTGAAAATAGGCAAATTCTAATTCCTAATGTCTAATTCTGACAGGTAACTACTGTCTCTAAAACAAAACATATCTTTATTATTCTTGCACAATCCATTATATTGTAGTAGTTGTATCATTGCTAGTTAGTGGCAATTTAGTTTTTTGTGCACTATCTATAGTTTGTAATGTATTGTGTGAACCTCTGTACTGATGCTGCTGTGACACCTGACTTTCCCCTCGGCGGGACAATAAAGCCTATTTCTATTCTATTTATAATCTAGGGATTATTTAACAGACTCAATATCTCAGAACGTCAGAAATTAACTCGTGAATATTCCAACATTAACAATCAAATTGTAATTGTTGGCAACTAAACACAATTCTGCTTATTTTGCTAATTTATTACAAATTATGCAGTAAAATTTTAATTGTGAATAATAAAATATAATAAAAATTTGTGTATATACTAGGGCTGTGTATTGGCAAGAATTTGGCGATATGATACACATCATGACAGAGGGGTCACGATACGATATATCCCAATACTGTAAGCAAGGTGATATATTGTGATTTTTTTTTTTTGGCCCAAAAATTCTATTAAATAAAAACCTCTTATTGGGAAAAAAATGAAAAACCAAAATTCATTGTCTCAAAAAATTCTATTACATAGACATGCGCTAGCCTTCTGTAAAATTGGAAAAAAGAGCGCACAAGATAATTAATTTGTCTTAAAATACAGACATTCTGAYAAATAAGTAACTGTTTGTAACCTTACCTCAGCTTAGAAGGCAGAGGGTGTCGGTCTTTTCTGCTCAGATTCAGCTATCGGAGCATGARGCTAATGTTTACTCACAATGCTAATGCTACCCTTACTCTCTGGTGCTCAAGAGGTAGAGGAACCAAATGTCTGGCTCACTGCTGCCAACTAGTGGTCAGAGGCTGAACTACAACATAAAAATGAACGGCTGGCAGGAAAGTTGACATTTTAAACCTTAATTAAAAATCGATACAGAGCTTTAGAATATCGATACAGTATCGGGAAATGAAATATCGTGATATTTCAGTGTATCGATATTTTCTTACACCCCTAACACAGTATATACATAGCGATTATGGCGTTTACTTGCATGACTATGTATTCATTTTGGTCATATATTTTTTTCCACAGGCTGCATGTCATTGAGATTTAAAACCTTTATAAGTTTGCATTTATTATTTTGCACAGCTTCAGGTCGTCTCGTACCTTCTGTCAGGCGAGCCTTTCCTCCCGTGGGCTGACACAGAACCGTGGAACAGCCGACACACAGAACCACAGTCTGAGCGTGACTGAACACCGTGGTGATCTTGTAGCAACCTGTTAAAACACACGGGAAACTTTAGGAAAACACAAGTCATCAAGTCATTCATCAGTTAACTGTGTGTTTCTGTCTTTGCAGCTGTTTTATGTAAATGAGCACTTATTTCTCTCATTTCACAGACAACCACAAAAAGTCAATGTGTGCCTTATTTGACACCCCGATCACAACAGAGACAATGAAAGGGGCAACACATAAAGGCACTTAGAAAAGCTACGACAACTACAGAGTCATTCGCTGCACGTTTTCGATGTTTCTGCATCGGAACAAGAACAGCTGATGCATGTAGCGAACACATCTGGAGTTAACAACATATCGTTCACGTTCCCTTTCTGACTGGTCATAGTTTCTACCTGACAGAGTTTTATTTAACAGTGTGAAGTTCTGTGATCAGAACCAGTCTTACTGTGCAGCAACAGATTGAAAACATGGGCTGAAACACATTTATCTGTTCATGTTTCTGTCTTAACTTAAATAAGATACCTGGAGTGAATATTCAAGTTTATATGTATTTATACAAAATATTAGGATCTGTTTCCTTTTTGCTGCTGCTTTATATGACTTTGAAACCTGTCATATTATCATTTATTACTGCTGTCGTACCATTTATTACTGCTGTCGTACCATTTATTACTGCCGTCGTATCATCATTTATTACTGCCGTCGTATCATCATTTATTACTGCCGTCGTATCATCATTTATTACTGCTGTCATATATAAATAACAAGTCAAGACTAAATATTTTGTTGCCTAAAATCGAAACTTAAAAATCTGAATTTACTTTTACTATTAATAAACATTTGAACTCTACAAAGCTCAATGTGTAACACCCAAATTTTTATATTACTCATTTTACTTACTAAACTTCTAACATAAAAGATCACATTTGGTTTTCTAATCCATCAAAATGAATTATCATAATTTGTCTTTTTCAGTGATGGTTAAAAATGATTCAATGACAGTGTTTTTAATTACCCGTATTTTTTGGACTATAAGCCGCAAATTTTCCTGAACTTTGAACCCTGCGGTTTATACGAGGATTTTTTTCTTCAGCCACCAGGGGGTTCTTATGCTCCATTTGCTTCAACCACTCGCTTCAAAAAAAGAAGGAAAAAAAAAAACCAGGAAGCAGCGATTTAAAGATAGTCAATGCCCAAAAACTCATAAAAGGGGATAAAACAGACATTTTTC